TCAATTTCAAAAAAAAACTATTAACTACTTTTCGGTCACTTGAGTCTTATTTGGTATTAGAAGGTTTCAATTGATGAAAACTACAAAAACAAAATTAAGTAAAATAAATGAAGTAAAAAAATTAATTGATGAAATTAATGAAATGAATGAAATGCATAAAATGGATAGTTTGGTTTATTGAAATTGCAGTGAAAATAAAAAATTAAATATTTTTAACAAAAAACTACAACAATAAATTTACATTCAAAAGCTAAAAAACTGCCATTTTAAAACGAAAATAAAAAATATAAAAAATTTTGTTACGAATTTTGTAAAAATATATATAAAAAAAATTATATTAAAAATAAAAAACCGAAAACGAGTGTTATTTTAACTAGTTAAATATACTAATTTAAGTTACTGAAACATAAAAAAAAATTAGAACTGCTCAAGTGACAAATAAATTTTAGTTTGTATTTATTTAAAATTTGGCTTTAAAAATCTTAAAAGCTTTTCATATAATGAACAAAATTAATAAAATAGTTATATATATATATATAAAATATAGGTATATAAAAAGTTGTTGCAGCAAATGATATTGTAAGTTCCTTTTATAAAATAAATAAAACAAAGAATACAAAATATATAATACACAAAGTTAAATGTTAAAGTATAAACTACTTAACTAATTATATGTAATTAATGGATATTACTGTTCAAATGTAAAAAAAAATGTTATTGTTAACATATATATATATATATATGATATAATAATAATTAATCTATAATATTTGATATTATTAAAAATATGTTAAAATCGAAATATTAAATGTAACAAATTGTAACAAGCAAATGCTTATATCGGGTAAATGTTCTTAATCACGTTAAGTATACTATATATATAGTTATATACATATATATAGGTTAACTTTCCAAAATGATTTAAAATTTTCGTAATTTAATTTTAAATATTTTCACGCGAAAAGTTCTATTAGAGAAATCTTAAATATAAATTCCATTCTGACTTAGCAATCGACTGTTTTTATTAATAATTTTTCAACAAATATATTCTAACTACAAGTAATTAATGTTAAGAATTGTTAGAAAACAAATTCCTTTTTTATAAATTTAAATTACTTTTAAAGATTAAAAATTTATAAAAAAATTTTATTTCTAAAAATCGACATTATAGGTATTCCTTAAATTATTATGCGGATAGATTCTTTTCTAATTTTTGACTACTAAATCTAAATGAACAAAAATCTGTTTAGGAGATTAACTCAAATAAAAAAGATATATTCATCTTAATTTTCGGGAAAAAAATGTATGATATAGAAACAGTTTACAAACTTGCACACAGTGCTGACACCACCTTTACAGAAGCCGTGCTCTTCCATGAGGTACCAACTTGTCAGACTACATATATCAATTTTTTAAATCGAATATCGAAATATAATTTCAACTCAAGTATATAACCAAAGCCATCTGCGCACTGGGGGGAAACAAAGAAAATTTTCTAATTTTTTTAAATCTCCTAATTTAAAGCAATATACTAAACATTTTGGTATTATTAATTAATCAAATCTGTCATACTTAAGAATGTAATGATGAGATAAAGAAATTGAATCTTATAAATTTTAGAGGTGCATCATAACCCATCTTACCTCATTTTCTTTGCAATTATCAGGAAACAAATCCATGACTTTTATTTGATTTTCGGTTGACCTAAAGAAGTCTGGACTTACAGCAAAAGATACTGTAAAGTTTATCAAAAACCTTAATTTATCTATGATTTAAATTAGGAAATTTTTTTTATGGATTAACTTAAAGTTCTAAGTGTTCGTTAGTGACTTCTAAAGATAATAAATAATCAAATAAATTGAGACTCATAGACTCTATATTCTATAAAATATAATATATAGAATATATACTTCTATAAACGAGTATGTTTTGAGAAGTCAAAAAACTACAATAAAATTCTCTAACTGACTATTTTGTTTAACAAAAGCATTTAAAATATAACAAACTCTCTATGAAAGTCATAGCCCGCGGTTCAGATATTTCTGAAATTTCTGATATATTTCGATTTTAACTAAAAATTAAAACCTTTGAAATGAATATAAAATATACAAAAAAAATATATTGAAATTTCTTCGAGCTTTGAAAAAATGTTCGAAAAACATATTCCAAGCTTGTTAAATTATAATTAATGTTAAATGATTTATTAAAATAATGTTGCTATAAATAATAAAATAAAATAAAAAACTATAATTAACGTTATATGTATGATGAATGTGATTTTAAGTAGTATAACTAATAAAATGTTAAATAAATAATTGCTGGTGTAATAAACAATATAAATAATAAACACAGGATATCATGAAAAGAAATTATTAACAATTGCAAACATCTACACTGCAAGGACATTTCAATTTCAACTAAAACTACAACTTTTGTTATTTCCGCTTAATTAAGCTGTGTTCACACTGCGGGTATATTACAGAGATTGACGAAAATCGCCTCAGCGTTTACACATGACGCACAAAACTTCATGTTTTATTTTAATTAGCAAATTTTTAATATTTTTTTTCTTTTTGATTTTTTTTTAATATTGTTAAAAGGACAAAAAATTAAGGATTCTTATGTCTATCAAAAATCGGTTGTCTTGGTTTTAAAAACTCAACGCATTTTATGTAAAACTTATTAATTAAATTAATTTTTGATTTTGCAACTACTCGTAAACGATTTTAAACTTTTAGCAAAAATAAAAATCTTAACTACTTTTCTCTATATTTCTCTCTCTTTCTTTTACTACTTGTACTACTCGCCCACTAATGCCAACACTCGTTTGTTTTTCGAAAATATTAATAATGTTTTTAATTTTGAAATGAAACTTAAACTGTTTTTGAGCCGTACGATCCGAACGTTTAAAGCCGCGTTTAAGCATAATTTAAAACCTAAATTCGGTGAGTCATAATATAATATTATAAAATATTCAATTAAATATTTATACCAATGATATATGTTTTTAAAAAGTAATATACCTACACTACAAAAAAAATATATATATGTATATTAAATTTTATGAATAATATTTATATTCCCTTTTTCTCATAAAATAAAAAACCAAAACACTCTTAAATTAAGTTTGAATTTGTTCCTCAAAGTAGTTTGAATTAAAACTAAGCCAAGTAATTTATTAAAAAACATTAATGTTTTTTAAATGTAAATTGAAATTTATATTTTTATTTGGCGTATCACAAAATTTTGTTCAATTTTTCTTTAGCTAAATGCTTGTTTTCTTTTTTTTTTTTTTAATTTTTTCAATTCAAATATATTGAAAATTGATTTTTTGCTTTCTATGCATAATTATATTTTCTTTAAAAAGGCAAAAATATTTGAATTATTATTATTAAAGCCTTCACACCTCACCGCGCAAATTATGGCCACAGTTTTTTAATCATAATTCTGTTTTAATTTCCATACAACATCGCCGTCATTGCCAAATTCAACTTCACTCCCAACATTTACCAATAATCCAATTTTCAACATGGAACAGACTACAGTGAAAGACTGGCACTTAAATAACTTCATTTCTCATTTTCCAATCAGTATAAGTACCTTTTCCATTTTTCTTAATACGATAAACTCATTTATATTCATCACCTAATCGAATTGCTCGACTACACCACTTTTCCTCAAAATGTCTATCAATCATCAATTTCTCACACTTGCATGCTTTTCTCTTAACTTTTCTATTAATATTTAATATATTTGTAAATTTTTCACCATCAGTCACCATTCCTTTTTTGTTTTTCGTTTCAATAATTTATTTTAACATATTCTTATTGAGACAAGTTTATGTATTTTTTATTTAAGTGTTAATTTAAAGGAATTATAAGTAGATTAAATATTTATAATACTATAAAAATATATATAGTTAAATACAGTGAAAACTCTTTTATTTCTATCGCTCCATTCTATCCATGTATGCATGGTGACGTTGTTACAAAAAATTATAAGAAAAAATATTTGTTAATTAGAAGGGTTCGAACAGTAATGAAGAAACAACAACAATATTTTTTATTTTTTGTTGTTGCAAAAAATAATAAAAAAATATTTCTAAGTTAGTAGGGTTCGAAAAGCAATGAAGAAACAACAACAAAAATTTTTATTATTTTATTGAAATTTAGCTGACCATACAACGCTGTTTCTTGTATTGTTAAGAACAGTGTTGCATTGTCAGCCAAATTTCAATAAATTAATTAAAATTCTTATTGTTGTTTCTCTAATACTGGTCGAATCCCCCCCTTCTATCTATTTTTCATTATTAGCAACAACGTCACCATCCATATATTTTAGATGGATACGCATAAAAATTGGCTGACGATATCGTTCTAACAAATTTATTTCACATTTTTCTTGAAAAACAAAAAATAATTAAAACCTTCCATTTTAATTATTAAGAAAGCTTAAATATTTTAATATAAGCTATTCGTTATTACTAGGTGGTTGACCGGAGGTTAACCGGTGTTTAAATCCGATTAACCCATTTAATGAAAACTAAAGTTCTTAAAATCTTTAATTGATTTTTTCTTTCTTTTTATTTTATATTTTAGAATTTGTTTAATTTTTTACGATTTAATTTAATGATTTAATAATTGTTTTTTTTTGTGTTGTTTATTTTTTCACTAAATTTATTTTTATATTAATTTTATTTTTCAGTTTTATCGACTTCGATTTTTTAACGATTTCATTTAATTTAAAAATTTATTTATTTTTTTTTTTAACATATATTTATTTTTCAGTTTTATCGGTTTCGATTTTTTTGACGATTTAATTTATTAAGTTTTAGTTTTAATTTTTTTTATTTTTTTATTTATTTTTAATTTTTTTTTATTTTTTTTTATTTATTTTTTAATTTTTATTTTTTTTTTATTTATTTTTAATTTTTTTATTTTTTATTTATTTTTAATTTTTTTATTTTTTATTTTGTTATTTTCTTATTTTCTTGTTAATATTTATTTTTTTCTTTATTTTTTTATTTTTATATATATATATATATATTCTTATTTTTTTATATATGGTATATATATTTTTTTATTTTTTATATATTTTTTTTACATTTTTTAATTTTTTTCTTTATTTTTTTTTTCGAAGATTCTTATTTATTACTTTTTTGTTTATTTATTTTATTGATTTATTTATTAATTCATGTACTCATTAAGTAATCATAAATATCATATATATTTGATCGTTTTTTATGGCAGAAATACAATATATCTATTTTTATCTTATATCCTTCTCTTTTCTTTTCAATTTAAATGTTTTCACTTATTTTTAAAACTATGTACATAAAATGAAAATAATATATAAAGCATCTGAATTAGTAGAACCCTTACTCGGTCCCGCAGACAACCCACAAAGTTTTTAATGAACTCAAACTGTACGGATCATTTCGCAAGTAGATAAAAACCCTAAAAATGTTATTTTCATTAATTATTTAAGGATTTTTTTAATTTTATGAATGGATGCATGAATAGTCGATTATTTTTGTATAATTCGAAATATTTTTAACGCTTTAAACTTTATTTTATAATTTACCATTTCATTGTAATAATGTGTAAAATGGGAAAATATAAAAACCTTAATAAGCTATTAAAATAATCATAAATTTAATGTATTTTTTTAATTTAATTTTTATAATATTACGAAACCATTTTCCTTACTATTATTATAATAATATAAAATAATATTTGTTTTGTATTCCCCATCCATAGAATAAAAAGCAGAATTTAGTACTACCTAGCCACTGAAAAATTGATAATTCTAGGCTAAAAGACATTAAAGAGGTCTGAATTGTCCAGTCGGAGTACTGATCAATCCTTAAGCAGAGAATAAAGCAAAATAGAAATGCTTATCTGTACCTGTAAATTTTTATTGAAATATAGTATAGTTCGAGAGACTATTAAGTCGTTGCTTAACATCTGGGCTAATATGGCCATAACTTGATACGAAAAAATTGAATATTACTCAGATTCCCATAAGGGAAATATGTATTGTCATGGATTTTATAACCAAACACTGATTATGTGCGAGGAATGGTCTGAGATTAGGAATACTATATATGTTTTCAGGACCGGCATAAAGTAGTCACACATGTTCTGTAGCTATTTAGCTCTAGCTGAGTTTTTAGACATATGTATATTCTTTAAGCAGTTTCACGGTATTACTGCGTGTTCAGATTAAATACTTTTTACTCTTTTACTTTCACAAAATATAACCAAACCTATAGCTATAATTGGTGTACATTAAGTCCTATTTAACGTTAAAATATGTTAAATTTAACTGTACCTAATGTAGTACAAGAATTATTTTCTAAAAATTGAAAAACCAGACGTAACATACTAAAACAATACCTATAAATATTGAATATTGAGTAAAGTACTGTAATATATCTTCTGATAATACAGTGTTCTGAAATAATATTTTTCAATTTAACTTTATATGTTAAACTTCTTTATAGTTAGCATTTAGCTCCCTATTAAGTTCTTCTATAACTTCTTAGATAATTGTTTTATAATAAGGCAGATTCTGTATGCTTTATTACTTTTAGATATAATAATTGTTTTATATACTAATTATCCATTTTTTTTATAATATATTCAAAAACATCAGAGCTCTGAATTATAGCAATATCAATATTGTATTTTACAAATGTGTTTCTCGCTACCTTGTCTCTCTTTCTCTCTTTCCCTATATTCTCTGTATTCTGTGCCTCTCTCTCTCTTTCTTATCCTATATTTTCTGTACTCTGTGTCTCTCTACTCTTTCCCTATATTCTCTGTACTCCGTTTCTCTCTTACCCTATATTCCCTGTACTTTGTCTCTCTTTCTCACCACATATTCTCTATACCCTGACTCTTTCCTTTCTCTCATTTTTTTCTCTCCTGCTCTATATCTCCTCTTTTTCTCTCTCATTTTCTCTCTGCATTTACACACCACCAAAACTGAGAAACTTACTTAGAAAAGTTAATATTGGTGGAAGCTGTTTGAAAAGACAAAAAGAAAAAGCTTAAATTTTATAAATTAAAATATTTAGTATTTTTAAATTATGATTATATATATTATGATTAATATATTATGATTATATATAAAACAATTCCATGTAATTAAAAAAAATTTATTTCTTTGATTTTAATTTTACTCTTTTGCTAAAATTTTATCCTAAATTGCTGCTTTTTATGCCATTTTTGTGTATTTAAAAAGAATGATTTTATAAAATTTTTATAATTTTTATGCATAAATGAAAAAAAAAATAATAAAAACACTACAATCTCAAAATTTCCAGAATTTCTTTAAAAATTCATTGTTATATATTTTTAAATGCTTAATTTTCATAATTGAAAACCTATATATTTAAATTGTGCTAATAAAAAATTTTTTAATTAACATTTTACAGGTAATTCCAATAGTTTAGCCCAACTTGTAGATAATGAAATTCCACTCTCCCAAATGGATGTACCTGCAAATCAACTATCGGGAACAGGCACAAGATCTGCATCAAATGCGATTACAAACTCTATGAGACAATTCCGACATCATAAACAACGAGTCAATGCAAATGATTCGAATAATGAGGACGATAATTTAGGTAATATGGATTACCTGGCAGATGATATAGATGATCCGGATGTAGTTGTGGTCGGTAACACTGAAGTGGTAGCTGCAGTAGCCGCAATTGCAGCAACAAACCGTGCGCGTGAAAGACACAATCTTTCTGGCAGTTACAATAATTTATTTAACGCTGAATATGACACAAACATATCGCCCACATCACCAATTAGTGATACGTCAATTGCAATAGATCCATTGTCAGTTGATGACGCACAACGCATCTCTAATCAGATTTCACCCACCGCAAAAGTTTTACTGGCAGCTGCTGCAGCAGAACAACAACATCATAGCAACCACAGATTAGCCAAATCCATATCACAAACAGAAAATATGTACTGCAATGTGCCGAATGTAGCTGTAGTGGATCAAGAAAATCATATAGTGAATAATACAAACGATTCCGCTGCTTTGCATGTTTATTCGAATTTAATAGATGAAAGGCACCAACAACAACAACAAAACTTGCCGGAGCAGCAGCAGACACAACATATCGTGAACACAACAGCTGTGCTACCTTCCACATTGCTAAGTGATGATCTCGATTTGGATGATCCAGTCAGTGCGTCTTTTGTCGCTAATGTCAATAGCAATTCAACACAAACACGTCATTTTACGAAACGTAAAAACAACATTGGGACAGAAGTTAAGCCTGCCGCTGATGTGGCCGAATTGGTGGTCACTAATAAAATGTATACTTCAAGTGGTCATGTGACCAACGATACCTTATCACCGAGTCGTTTGCGTTTATTGCACGATACTACTATGATTGACACCGCTCTTGATTTAGACAGTCTAGATGGTTCGTCGTTGGGCAACAACTCACAGACTTGCCTGGTCAAAACAGTGCAAACTAAAAAAACATAATTAAAATGCTAATGAAGTCCTTAAAGCTCTTCAGCCAAGTTTAGTAAACCTAATAGCTGCCTCAAACGGATATAAGCGTTTTTGCATGTTAACGCGATTTTATTTTAAAAACTCTTGTACATACTTGCCTTGCCGCATTAGTTTTATTAATAATTTATAAAAATATTTTAAGGTTTTTAATTTACTGTTGATCTTAATTCTATAATATATATGCTAATTATTTTTAGTTATATTTTTTTAAATTAATTTTAAACAATATTCATTGAATAAGAATAAGAAATTATTGAATTCATAAATTCAATTTTTGGATTATGGGCGAGTTACATAAAACATTTCTGTAAATAATTCAAATAACTATATTATATATATAATTTAGCTTCATTTAAAATATGAAGTGTAAAAATGCGCTTTGATAATATATCAATTATAATAATCAATTATTTGAAATTGTCATATTGTGTTGTCTAAAAAATATAATTCCTTCTTTTGAATTTTTATCATATTGTCTATTCAAGTATTTATAATTAAATTTATTTTAATTTAATTTTTGCACTAATATGCTATGATTTTCAAAATTAAAATTTTAACTTTTGTTAAAAATTAATTTATTTAATTAGTATTTTATTCTTGGATTCAAATAATATAAATGCTTTTGAAAACATATTTTATGTGTACTTGGGTTAGGTATTAAAATTGTAAACATCAAGCTATATATATATATATATTATATACATCTGACATCTAGTGAATATAGCAGTGTCTTCGATAATTTCTGTAATGATATATTTATGGTTTTTATGAAAAAAATAATGTGGTATGAATGATTATAACTTAAACAATACAAACAAAAAGTCAGATAAACAAATTATATATTGAAAAAAAGTTGATTTTACGTTATCAATGAATATTAAAGTATTTAATAGACTTTTTTATATTTATTTCTAATGAGAATGAAATTTGTTTTAAAATTGTATAAATGTAGTTTTAATAAACAGTAAATATCATTTTCATATATAAGTAATATATTAATTAGTTACTATCTTTTTCTAAATCAGTATCAGTAAGACTGTGAAACTTAGTGCTTTCTATGTACTTGTGTACTAAGTGCTTTAGCGTTACTATAATAATGTCTTTTGTTGATTGTAAGAGATCAACAAAAGTTGGTGAGGTTACTAACACATGATTTTTCTGAATAATTTTGTATATCAATATGTAAACTGACGGTTTCTGTATACTAAATTTATCTTAGTGAAAGTTGTGGGTTGTAAAAAATCTTTTTACAGCACCAATATTTTAAAACTGTATTAATCAACGCAGATGTAGCAAATCTAGAAACCCGTTTACTTCAGAATACAGCAAATCAGCTATGATATAGTAGATACTTGAACAATGCATAATAACATTAAAATACAAATAACTCTAGTTCAATCCGAACACCAAACAATTTACACATAAAAAAATAAAAAGAAGTAATTGCAATATGTTTGTATCACTTGATATAAAATTTCTTCTACATTTACTATGAAAATCAGAATTTAATTCATTATTCCGCTTTCCCTTATATGCCATGCATGGGATATAAGTTAGAGTCGTTCTCATGAGTTAGAATGGAAAAGCCGCTTGCTTACGGCACAAATGTTACAGCCTTAAGAGGAGAACTCACATCCATTTTGGATGTATTACTTATTTGAAACGAAATTGTCATTAGCCCTTTTTGTCTATACACCTTTCTTGAAAGAACAATAGTTTTTGTTGGCGTTAAGTATCTACTCTTCGATACCAGATTTTTATGCTACATGCATATATAAAAGTAGCTGCACGCTATTGTAATTAATTAATGCAATTTTAGTTTAACTATTACAATAGTAATAATTAATTAATTTATTCAAAATTAATTAAAGTAATTATTGTAATTAAATTTATTAATTAAGTAATTAGTAATTAATTAAAGTAATTATTGTAATTACTTTTATTATATACATTTATCATGTAAAAATAGAGATTTATATTCACATTTTATTTATTATATCATGTGTTAGTAATAATAAACCAATATTTCTCGGTACCCAACCCAATTGTTCATATAAAAGAAACTATTTGAAAATAATTTAAAAGTTTAAACAATATACAAAAAATTGATTTAACAAATTTTTATTTATTTATTCAAAACTTTTTTCAGTTTATAAAAAAAAAATTAAAAACAATATAATACATTTTAAAGAGAGCAATTTAAATTTACAAATTAATTTTGTATAAATAAATTAATTTATTTTAATATATTTCTATTGAATGATAATGAAGACAAAATCATATTTTTTTAATGATATTTTTTTTTAATTAAGTTTACTTTTGTAAAATATTATAAATTAATTTTTATATTATTTTTTTTATTTAAAGTTTTTTTCAAAGTTTCTAATTGTCTTTAATTTTTTTCTATATTCTATATTTTTTCTTTATAAATTTAAAATAATTTTGTTTTTAAATTTTGTGTATTTTTTTCTAAACCTTTTTATATATTATATTTATAATCCTTTAGTTTATATATTATTATTTTTTTTTTATTTACATTACAATTGAAAATTTTTTCCCTATATTTTAATTATTTAAATAATTGTGTTTTTCAATCTAACAAATTCATTTTACTTTATTTTTTTTTTTTGTTTTTAATGTTTTGTTGTGGTTTTATTTTTTTAAATTTTTTTATTTATATTTTTAAAACATATTTTTTATATTATTTTGTATAAAATTATTAAAACATATTTTATTTATATGAAGTTATGCTGTATATATAATTTTGTTCTTTTTTTTGAATTTCATAAAAATTGCTTTAATTTTTTAATAAATATTTTTGTAAGTAATAAAAATTTTATTAATTTTTTAATAAATATTTTTGTAAGTAATAAAACTATTTTAAATATTGTTTATATTTTTGAAAATCACTTTTTATATTTTATGTTTCTAAACGTTTTATATTTTTCTAAATTTATTTATTTTAAACAATGTATTTGTTTTAATTTTTATTAATTTAATAACGTGTTTATTGTCTTAAAACAGTTCGTTCATTTACTGCTATGAAAATCATATGTCATATTTTATTTTACTATAATTATATTATTTATGTCAATCCCGTATGCAATTTATACTTGCTAAAATCGCAGCCTTTATATAAAAAGAAAAAATATATTTTTAAATGGGCCAATTGGTTAATACTTAAATAATACACTTTATTTAAAAAATTATTTTGTTTTTTAAAAATATTATTTGAATATATTTGAATATATATTGGGTAAAATATTTTTATAAAAAACAAAAATTATTTTTAATTAAGTGTATTATTTAACTATTGAGCAATTAACACGTTTAAAAACAAAATTAATATTAGAAATTTTTGGTCGTTAAAACAATAAATTATTTAAAAACAAAGTATTTAACATATTTTTATATCAAAACTGTTTTGTTTATGGGTTTCTAGGAAAATTGTCTCTTGGAAAGAAAATATGAATTAAAAACTACTTATCTATTAGCAAATAAAAATTTTTACGTATTCAAATGAAAATATTATACTTGAATATAGTGTTTATGTTCGAGTACAGTATTATAAAATAATAAACGAGGTTATTCACCACTCCTTGTTCTAGACAAGTATATATATTCCGTTTTCCCACCTAAGTACATATATTAGAATACTTAGGTTTGTGTGTTGAAATTGTTTTCTTTTTGGAAAAGGTTAACAGACAGATCTATGTGTTCTCATTAATGCATTTAGGCTTACAGACTTTTTAACACTATCTTCATGAAAGAAATGCGAATGACTTTTAGTAGTAGCATTAACTATAGACTTATCATCGGATGATTCTGAGGCATTCGTCAAACTAGTTTTGTATCAATAGACCCAACAGATAATACTAAGAAACGTGAACACCTTTTTTCGGAACTAAGTTATAATATTGCTTGCATATGGAGTAAATGTCCCAAAATTCTTTAAACCTTTATTGAACAAAAAAACGATCATCCACTAAAGAATCCAATCGCTGAATTAGTATCGTTTCTCTATTATTTTCTAAACTTGCAAACAGTATGTTGAGCCTCTTATTCGCAAATGTATTTAACGCATTAGTCTAGAATCTGTAAAGGCTAGATTTTGGCAAATTAATTTTTGACAAAATTGTAATATTAATGCAAAGTAACTCAAGAATTAAATAATTTAAAAATATACACATCTATACGAATACATTTGTTTATATTTGTGTATAATATGAACATAATAAAAAATGACAAATTTATGGCAACTTATTAAAAACAAAGATAATAAATAAAATAAAATATTATTATAAATGTTAACAGTTAAAAAAATGTAAAGGTACTACAAACAATAAATTAAACACATATATATATATAATATATATTAATAAATATCGATAAATAGGAACTGTATGAAATACTAAATATATTTAATATTATAGAAATACAAATATTAAAGTACACAACCAAAATGTATATATATATTTAAATAAAAAGCGTATTAACAAAACGATCAGTTCAATAATTTTATATATAATGAAGAGAAAATAAGTTTTTTAATTCTTAATTTTTAGAGCAAGTTTTGCTATTATTTTATGTATTAAAACAAAAGGTATAAATATAAATAAACGAAATGTTAACAGATTAAATCGCAATTAAAACCATATATAAATTATGTAAAACAAAATCAATTATATATATACATATATATATAAAAAATTATATATATTGTAAAATGACTTTTAAATTTATGTGTGGACACAAGTGTAAAGAAAAATATAATAAATGTATAAGAAGAATTAACTAATTTGAGAGGTTATAAAAAAATATTATTAAAGTAAAAGATGTTTCGAAAAAATGTTAAATGCAAAAGAATATATATATATACAAATATATAAATTTAAAACAAAGGCGTTAATCTGAAACAATAATAAAAATAAAATTGAAAAAATGTAAAAAAAATCGTGTTCTTTCAGACCATATAAACTATATAAATATTTTTTAAATATGATGATCATTCACTAAAGAATTTTATTAGCAGTAATACAACAATCTATAATGATATATGGAGAATAGTATGGATGAAAGGAATAGTGTGTATATGAGTTGTCCCTTTCTTACTTATCAATTCCAGCTAAAGTAGGTGTTAAGAGTTTGAAACAGATGTGCGAAAGAA